AACTTTTTTTTAAAAAATTTTACAATAACATAGCATATAAAGCCACATACTTTTGATTAATTTTTCAGCTGATTCATATTGCTTTCTAGAAGAAAAAGGGGGGGGGGGAGCAAACATAATATAGCTTGGTTTGAACATATTTTATTGTAATTTATAATTACAAAAGGATTGGGCACAAGTTATGAAAACTTATTACACCCTCTCCCTACATGTAAATTACACATTTAAATAATAATATAGCTTAATAGAGGGCAGGGATTTTCTTCTAATAGTCATATTTTTTTTCCTCTAAAATCAGGATAACATTTTCACATAAACTTTGACTATGAGAGAGCTTTGCCCTATACATCGATCCCGTTCTAAATTCGCTATTGTATTTTTTTCCCTAACCGTACGACACATTTTTGATAAGATAAATCTCAGAATAAAGTAACATTTGTACAGAAGTTGAATAGCACATTTCAGTTACCAAAAATCCGGCTGGCGATTTTTGTATGCAGTGTGTACGTTGATTACTATTTAATAAGATTATCATCTCTATCCATACCTATGCAGTAGACATCTAGTAATACATGTTTACCGCATATCATATTTACCTCCATGTTTTATATGATTACAGATTTTCAATATTACTGTAATTTTTGGGGTATATGTCGATGGGGTATATAGGTCGAAAGGCTCATTTTCAGCCGTAATTTTTTAAAAAATCCTTAGATAGGACGAATTTGGAAGATAGGACGAGGCTTTGTTTATCGATTTTCTAGAGATTCTTACATAGATACTACATATCAGAACATGTAAACCTCTTTAACTTAACCCGTAATATTAATGTATGGAGAAAATAAACTGGCATTTTTATGAGTACAGCATTTTAATAGTGTACACATGCAGTGTATATCCCTTTATCTGTCAGACAATTAAAATTCTATTAGAAGCCAATCTTTGTATAATTCAGTGTACCCCTTGGGATATAAAACAAAATATTTATGACTAGCGGTATATTTGGTAAATTAATTTAGGAATTTACTGGCAAAAATTTATTTCACGCATTTTACATTTAAATAAATGTCACAAGACAATGAAAAAATATTTAGGTATACTATTTCAATTAATTGTTACAAATAAATGGTAAAAAAAAAGATTACAATTGTGATTGTGAAAACTCTTCCATATTTTAAACTTTGATACGGTTGCGGTTTTATTTTTAGTAAAAGATTGCGACTTCCAACTTCACAAGATGGACACAGCATGTTGTAAATATACTTTGAGACATTATTTACTAGATGATATATTAATTTTTTTTTTGTACATCGACGGATATTAAATGGAACTTGTTTTGTAAGAAATCAATGGAATAAATATTTATTTCTTTATTGTTTATTTTTTTTCTCGGTAAAATAATTTTAAAAAATACGAAAATGGCACAGATTTGCTTTGAAATTGACATAAATTTTACTGATTTGAGGACATTTCTCGTAAACTTGAGCCTTAGATAGGTCGATTCGTTAAATAAGACGACCCCAACGGTTCTGAGAAAAAAGTATCGTCCTATCTTCCAAAACTTACGGTAATGCTTTTTAACTATCTTTACTAAAAAATAAGTTGAAAAAAAAATGTTTGATACTATTTGATGTTCAAAACACAATGTCTATCAACAAATTACAGAAATTTTACTGTCAATTCAGGGAATAGTTTTCATCATTTCACATATAGTTTTAAATACAATTTATATATATTACACTTTGCAAATAATCATGTTTTAAGGTCTTCAAAATATGAAAAACCTGCCATTAACAATGAAAAATATCAAAACGACAAGTTGATTAACAAAGCAAGAATGGGTTATTGTGTGTTATAATTTTTAAAAACAACGTTAAATAAAATACATATCAGATGTCAGGAGTGCAACACAATAATGTAAAATAGGGTCACTTCAAAATCTAGTATTTTTTGTAAGAGAACTCGTATATAAAATTTGGCTTAGATTTAAAGAATTGACTTGAACGGACAAAAAAGTGAATTTTGGGGAATTTTATTGCTTCATATTTTTATGCCCCCAGATCGAAAAATCCCAGGGGTATTTTGTTTTTGTCCTGTCTGTCTGTTTGTCTGTTTATCTGTTTGTCTGTTTATCTGTTTGTCTGTTTGTCTGTCTGTCTGTTTTCAACTTTAACCTTGCCCATAACTTTTGATTGGTTGGAGCTATGACTTTCATATTTCACATGTGTATTCCTTGTAACAAGACCTTTCTTTGGGTACCATCATATTTGACCTTTTGACCTTGACCTTGGAGTTTGACCCACTTTTGCAAAATTTTATGAGACTTTAACCTTGGCCATAACTTCTGAACAGTTGGTGCTTGGGGTTTCAAACTTCACATGTGTATTCTTTGTGACAAGGCCTTCCTTTGGATACCAACAACTTTGACCTTTTGACTTTGACCTAGGAGTTTGACCTACTTTTGAAAAACTTTAACCTTGGCCATAACTTTTGAACAGTTGGTGCCTGGGGTTTCAAACTTCACATGTGTATTCCTTGTGACAAGACCTTCCTCTGGATATCATATTTTTGACCCTTTGACCTTGACCTAGGAGTTTGACCTACTTTTGAAAAACTTTAACCTTGGCTATAACTTTTGAACGGTCAGAGCTAGGACTTTTATTCTTCACGTATGTAATCTTTGTGACAAGACCTTCCTTTGGAAACCAACCACTTTGACCTTTTGACCTTGACCTAGGAGTGTGACCTACTTTTGTAAAACTTTAACCTTTGCCATAACTTTTGAATGGTTAAAGCTAGGGCTTTCATACTTCACATATGTAATCATTGTGACAAGTGACAAGACCTTTTTTTGGATACCAACCACTTTGATCTTTTGACCTTGACCTAGGAGTTTGACCTACTTTTGAAAAACTTTAACCTTGGCCATAACTTTTGAATGGTTGATGCTAGGGCTTTCATACTTCACATATGTAATCCTTATGACATCACCTTCCTTTGGATACCAACCACTTTGACCCTTTGACCTTGACATAGGAGTTTGACCTACTTTTGAAAAACTTTAACCTTGGCCATAACTTTTGAATGGTTGATGGTAGGGCTTTCATACTTTACATATGTAATCCTTGTGACAAGACCTTCCTTTGGATACCAACAACTTTGACCTTGACCTTGATGTTTTACTTACCTTTAAAAAACTTTAACCTTCGCCATAACTTTTGAACAGTTGCAGCTAGGGCTTTCGAATTCAACATTTTTTATCTTTTGGCCTGGATTTTGACTTGCATTTGAGAAACTTTAACTTTCACCATAAGCTGCCATACGGCGGCATCAGTGTTTCACAAACACATCTTGTTTTCGTATTAAAACTTTCCAAACCAGAATTGAAAAAAATAATGTAAAATAGCAATCAAAAAGCCAATTTTTTGTCACATATAAAAGAGAAGATACTCAATCAGGGTCTAGATTTAATCATTTATACCCTTTTACCATTTTGAAGCATTAAAAACTATAATTTCTTGTGATTATGTATTTTAGAAAGTCTTTTAAGGTGTAATGATATTTTCTTTTTTCAAAAGAAATTTTACTAATAAAAATTCTGAAACTTTTTAATCCAACTGTCTATTCTATTGCCACTTCAGGATTTTAAACTAGAATGCATGTGCAATATGATGATGTATTAAGTGAAAAATATGTTATAAGTAGTTGAATTTTTCCAAAAAATTTCAGTTTGGTGGTCTTTTTTTTTTAATTCACTCATACATATTTTTAAAAATTCTTTTTATGTACAAAATTATTCATTACATAAATCATGCATCTGATGAGTACTACATATGAATGCATAAGTATTGCAAAAACGATCTTGAAAGAAAACGACTATATAACTTAAATGAACACAGTTAAAATCGAAAGTAGAGACAACCAATAGTCTATTGAACATATTTGTCTCATATAATTAGGATTTTGAAATGTGAGTGCGCATACACATTTGAAGAGTTTGTTGTTTGCTGGACACGAGCACGTGGATATTGTATTTTAGGGCATCTTATTGGTACTGTTTAAACATCTGTATATCGAGTAAGTACTAATATTTATGGAAAAAGTTCAATAAATTATTTCAAAAGGAAGTTGATATAATTGCTTAAATAAAGACAATGAAAATATTTATTATAAGTTCTGCGTGATCTTCCATAATTGGGCACTAGCTGTGATGCATTGTGTCCAGATATGTTGCATGGTGCACAGAAACCCCGACTTCAAAGTGTCAAAGATGCCTACATTTTGGTCCACGGGGCCCCGTGTTTTTCGGGGAAAACTCGTGGCCTGTACTGTAGAAATTTATTTCTGCCGGGTCAAATTTCAGGCCACAAGTGTAATGTTTGTTGTGTCATGTTTAAACCAACTCCATACACCACAACATCCAAGTCATGCTGCATGCTTTTTGTTAATGTCCCAGAGTTCCCAATGTTACAAAGTATAAACTATAAATATCTATAGTCTGACAAAATGGATCTAATAAAAGCAGATTACAACCATGTGGGGCTCAGTTGGACATACTGGTACCTTTGAAAATCTTATTTATTCATGGACATTTATCAAGTAGACTTGATGCATGATAGCAGTATTGTAAGCTATTTGCCTGAAAATGTGCCTTTTTCAGAATTCAGGTTCCAGTAGACGGGCTTACTCAGTCATAATTTGAAAATGTCAATGCACATTGTACCTTTGATGATCTTACTTATTTTTGAACATTTAGCAGGCAGACGTCATGCATGGTTAAAGTAATCTATTTGCCTTAACCAATTTGTGAAATATGTGTTCTCAACCTCAGGTCCAAGGGTGGCCCCAAGTAATATATATACATGTATATGTAAAATTCTTTCTACTCCTAATCATCTAGAAACATGCATTTCAATAACATATATGATAGTGAACATAGAGACCTTACAAATACATAACACATTAAGCATACAGTGTAAAGTTTGATGTAAACATTTTAGTTCACTGGCTAGTAGTCTTCTGAACTCAATAGCAGACTTTCTGGAGAGTGGTATAGATGATTTCACCACAAGCCTGTACAACCTGACAATAAACGAGGACAATGAGGAGGTACAGGAGTCAACAGAGAAGGACACCAATAACAACAACGACAGTGACAATAATGACGAGGTGCACGAACAACAGAAGCTAATGATTCAGGAAATTAGGTCAGAATTTGTTTTGAACAGAAATTGACAATCTAATCATGAAGCACCAAAACTAAAACCAATTCCTCATTATTTTAGGTCACTCAAGGTGACCTCTTGCTATTTGTTCTTGCATCCTTAATTAACTTTTTAACATTTTCAGGTTCTTTTCAGAAATGGGCAACCAATTCTGATGTAAAACATCCATGCATGGTCAAAGGGAATAAAAATCATGAATTTTATGGCCCAGTTGCCATGGGACCAGAAGGGTGGGGTTAAAACCATAAAATTCATGCTATCTAAAAATTTTTTACTTCTGCATGGACATGTAATAGGAAAACTACATGATTGTAATAACTAGCCCTCTACCAGAATTGTTAAATTCATAAGTCAAGGGCTTAGGCCTCAGATTGCAACTAAGTTGGTCATATATTGAAGTAACATTAAATCTTTAACGTAGGTCGCGGGTTTGCACGCCATTTAAAAGTGTCGTTACATTTTCGATGTTGTTCTATTGAATTATATAAGAAAAACTTCAGTTTCGGCTAGTTTTGAGGCAAGATTTTGTTTCAAAAAATATTAATAACATTTAAATGGTGCAGACGAAATTGTTTCAATTTTGGTATTGTAACAAAGAATTGATTTGAAATAAATCAATGTGAAAAAATTAATATGTCTTCGGGCTAGTTTTCGAGTAATTTAAACGTGGATAATTGCTTCTATATCGCAAAATGTAACATTTTTAAGAACGACGTCATAAAATATCGCGACGTCATGCTTGACATCGTGAATAGCTATCCGGTATTCAGTGCAGAAAAATAAGACAAAATAATTTTTATAAAAAAGAAATTCACGTCTATCTGCTTTAAGTGACCCGTGAATCGTATCATAATAATTTAATATCAATGAAATGATTATTAGTTTCTCTTCAGATTAGGGTTTTTGTACGTCTTATATTAGTGAAAATTCTCGCAAGGGACGTAAAACAACAATCAATCCTTTAGTTTCTTTCTTCCAATTTACTTGCTTTATGTGTTGTTTTCTTAACGGTTCTTTTCTGTTTGTTTTGTTTTGCTCTCTTTTTTTTTCGTAGATTAGATGTATATATCCTTACATTTGGCTGTGTATTTTCTTTTCCAGCGTGCTGGCGAAAAACGGTAATTCAAGTAATTCAAGTATATAAAATGTTTTTATTTAGACCATTCAGCAACTTGGGCACTCAATTCTTCGAATTTCTGGCAAATATTGTCCCGGCTAAATACAATATATTTTCAGTATATATTTAAACAAAATATTTATTTTTACATACTACATTTTCAGAGGGTAAACGGGACGAGGATTTAAAAATTAATTTTATCTGACGTAATTAACAGCCAGTTTTTTTTAGAACATTAATTCTACTTGTTGGACATGGAAAGCAAAGTAGCAAATAAAATCTGTAGGTAACAGCATTGCAAGCTGTTGCTTAGGGGACGATCAATTCATTCGAGGGGAGGGGGGCTTACAGATTTTGGAAATGAATAATCTGTCCTTGAAAATGTTGAAAATAAATAATCTGCCCTTGACTAGGCAAGAAAATAAATAATCTGTCCTTGACTAGTTCTAGCCCCCCCCCCCCCCCCCCCCCCCCCCCGAAATGGGAGTTTTCAACTTTGATGTTTTTCTTACTTTCTTTCTTTTTATTTTTTTTTTTTTTTTATTATTATTATTATGTTTTTTTTTTTGATTGTCAGATTTTTTTTCAGTGAAGAAGAAATAAATAATCTGTCCTTGTTTTTTTGGAAATAAATAATCTGTCCTTCACCGTCACATGAAAATAAACAATCTGACTCAGTAAAATTTGCCACCCCCTTCTCCCTCAGATTCAAATAGTTGTCCCCTAACAAGAGGTCAGTGTCGCTAAAAAATTGTCTTTATGTTTCATCGTACCTTAGCAGTATTTAATTTATGATAAACTTGTAGATCTATATATTTTAAAAATATCCTTTTTAAAAATAAAGTTTAATCTTTTGATGTAACAGGTGTATTTGCGATTTTTTTAAATAATGGCTATTTTCTTAATAAAACAAACTGTTAATTCAAATACGATCAAAGAAAAAAAGGTCAGTTGAACCTCGTGTCCATATCTTTTCGCGATACCAAGTGAAAACAAATCAATCGCAATTTCTCGGGCCTTTCCGACAAGTCGAAAAACAACCACTTGTTTTTCCAAGCTTGCAGGAAAGGTCTGAGAAGTTGCGATTGATAACAAATAATTAAACGTTTTTTATTACTTCCAGTGTCGATCATTCGAATCGTAATAAGCCTTCTTCACTAAATTACCAATTCCAACAAAAGTTTTATCTAAGTATTGTATCGACTATGCAAATCGTAAAAAGCCTTCATTATTTGTGATAAGTTGTTGCTTAAATAAAATAACACTAAACTATCAATTCCTAGAAAAGTTATAGCTAAATAATCATATACTGAAGAATTTAATAAAACAAAAATCATCGCAGATTTCTTTTTCATTGTGACGTCATAATCAAATGTGCACAAGAAAATCGCCCAAATCATATAAATTGCGTACCCAGTTTTAACGACGTCAGCAAACCCACGACCTACGTTAAAAATCTTTTCTCTTGGAATTAAGATGGCAACTTTTTTTCATTTTTGTAATTAACACCAAGCCCTCTTAAAGTTTGGCTTAAATTTCATGGCCCAACGGTTCATGGTTCAGTCCCTAGGTTGTGAATGAGTTGCTCATATATTGAAATTAGATTACATTCTTTTTTTAATTTGAGGATATCTAGCTGGAAAACTGTTAGCATGTTAACAATTAATGATCACTTAACCATTGAGCAGTATTATGAAATTCATGCCCTAGGATGTAGACCCCTGGGGAGAGATTAGTTAGGTAAAAATTATATCTCTACTGATTTTCTCCCCTATAAAATTAGATTGTTAGATGTGAATAATTCTCTAGAAATCGCTGTGAATTGACTAACCTCATTTTGCTGTTCATTAGTCAAGTGGTCCCTGCTTTGAAAGCTAGTCCCAGTTATCCATAATTCTTTTCTCTTAATTCCATAATTATAACTTTTGTATTGATATAACAAAACAGTCAAAAAGTATATCATTAAGGGAGTTAGCAAGATTCCATTTCCCCTCGAATAGGACTATTACCCTCAGTTTTGCCTCGGGAAATAGTCCTGGCCTCGAGGAACTGTAATCTTGCTAACTCCCTCAATGGAATACTTTAACTGCATATTCAAACTACATCATATTAATGAAAAATCTTCTCTTCTCATAAACCACAAACCAGGAAAATTATTTTTATTATAAGAAGTACTGTAAACCAACTTATTATTCATGACTTTACTATCTTTACAAGTCTTCTGTTTGAAATCCATCCAGAACAATTAAATACTAGAATAATTGCCTGTGGAAACATTCAGTGTAAATACACAATTAAATTAATGGTCTACAGTGAAAAAATAGGTCACAGAGATTTCTTGCGTGAGAATTAAGTTTGTTAACAGTACTTAAGGATATCCGATTCTCAGCTAGGAAGGATAACTCTCAAAATTATTATTTTATTTAAAAAGTCTCAAAATGAATCTTTTTGTGCAACAATTTTCATTTTATGCATCTAAGTATGATTCAGAGTTCTTTGAAGTCTTAGAAACGGTCTTGTAAAAAGTTGACATTTGTACCCCATAAAAGAAAAAAAAAATGAATTCATTTTTAGAGAAATCGAATGTCCTTTAGTCTAGCATTAGATACGACTGCTTATTAGAATGATATGAAATTAGATGTGATATATGATGTCTAGCATTGATACCACAAGCTTTTTAGCTCACCTCGACAAAGTCGAGATGAGCTTATGCTATACTCCCAGCGTTGGCGTCGTTGTTAGCATTGGCGTCCTGGTTAAAGTTTTAGGAGCAAGTCCATTCCCAAGTAACTATAAGCCCTACCTGGACCAAACTTGCATGGATGATGCATCTAGGGATGGACACAACCACACTTGCTTCAGATGCTGGATCTGACCTAGATCTTCCAGATGATTGACCAGGTTAAAGTTTTTGGAGCAGGTCCATTCCCAAGTAACTATAAGCCCTACCTGGACCAAACTTGCCTGGATGATGCATCTAGGGATGGACACAACCACACTTGCATTGGATGCTGGATTTGACCTGGATTTTCCAGATGAGTGACCACGTTAAAGTTTTTTTGAGCAGGTCTATTCCTAAGTAACTATAAGCCCTACCTGGACCAAACTTACATGGATGATGCATCTAGGGATGGACACTACCACACTTGCTTCGGATGCTGGATCTGACCTAGATTTTCCAGATGAGTGACCAGGTTATAGTTTTTGGAGCAGGTCCATTCCCAAGTAACTATAAGCCCTACCTGGACCAAACTTACATGGATGATGCATCTAGGGATGGACACTACCACACTTGCTTAGGATGCTGGATCTGACCTCGATTTTCCAGATGAGTGAATTTTAGCCATATTTGAATCAAATTAGCATGGATGATGTATCTTAGGATGGACACTTTCAGACTTGTTTTGGATTCTGAATCTGACCTACATTTTCGAAATGATTGACCTGGGTAATGTTTTTGGAGTAGCTATATAATATTATGGCATGTTATGATTAAACTAGCATGGATGAAAACTTCCAGACTTGCTGTAGATGTTGGAACTGACCAAAATTTTCTTGATTAGTAAACAGGGTAAAGGTTTTTCGAGCAGGTCTCTGTGCGGATTACTTTCCAATTAACTACAAGTCCTTCTTAAAACAAACTTGTATGGATATTGATCTTGGGATGAACATTTACTAGAAAAAATATAATGTGAGATTTGCCTTACTTATAGATAACCTTCGTCGAGTTGAGCTTCATAATTTTTGATTACCTATGTTTACACTATGTATTATATGGCAATTGAAGTAAAAAGAAGAACTGAAATACTGTAAAAGCATAAAATAAGATGCAATTTTCTCCAAATACCTGGATACCTATATTTTTCTATTCTAAATTACATTTGTTTATCAATTTTCAATTAGAATATACATAGCTGGTGTTTTTATTTGCATTTCTTGAAAATATATTTGAGATTTGATAATTTTCCCTATGTAATATGATTAACAACAATAATGAACTTTGAAGAAATTCCATGGGTAAATTCATGTTACTATGTGAAATCAGAGACATTTTTGCGAGCATTTTCAATTACTTAAAAGCTGAGTTTAAGAACCTGAGGATTGGACTACCTTAACACTCTACCAAACTTATGCAATTTCATTGCAACTAAGTCTCTGGGTGGGGCTATAGTTTGGTCATACATTATTGGAAATACCCAGCATCCCTTATTCTGTAAAATTTTATCATCTTTATTTTTTTTTCTTAGATACTTAGCAAACCTTAATGATTCAATTTTATTATATATCCTTTGGAATCTTGTCAAACCAGTATTTGCACATTTTTCCCTTATTTTTTTTTTTAGGCACTTGTTTCAACAAACTTCCAGAAATTGCAAAAAACTCTTCAATGAAGCTAGAGAGAGAGCCTCAAAGGCTCTGGGATTTGCAAAAGCTTTGAGGAAGGTAAAATTTTGTTGGCTCACCTTAGCCAAAAATTTGTGGATCATTAAATTTCCACATTTCAACTTTTACTGCAGAACCACTGTCCAATTTCATGCAAACATGGGACAAAAAATGTGTCAGTGATCGTAGAAGGCAATTTTAATATCTAAAGTGTGACCATGCTACTTCTTGAGTAGCTGCAATAATGTAGCCCTCATTTTTTTATTAGGTCACCTGAGTCACTAAGGTGACCTATTGCTATCCGTTTTTGTCCGTCGGCGTGCGATGTGCGTTAACATTTGAACATTTTTAGCTTCTTCTCTGAAACCGCTCAACCAATTTCAACCAAATTTGGCATATAGCATCTATGGGTGAAGGGGAACAAAAATTGTGAATTTCATGATCCCTGCCACCCTGGGGCCTGAGGGGTGGGGCTAAAACCACCCAAATTAATGCAATCTTTAAAAATCTTCTTCTTTACTCCTGGACATCAAGCAGTCAAACTGTTGATATGATTGTAATAAGCATTGAGCCCTCTACCAAAATTGTGAAATTCATGGCCCCAGGGTCAGGGGTTCTGGTGCTAGGGAGGGGTTATATAGATTATATAGTGAAAGTGCATTATTTCTTTGAAAATCTTCTTCTCTGCTCCTGGGTATTAAATAAACTAACTAAGTATATAGTTATGATGAGTAAGAGTGCCTCTTCCAAAATTCTGAAATTCATGGCCCCAGGGTCAGGGGTTCTGGTGTTAGGACGGGGCTCTATTAATTATATAGTGAAAATGCATTAGTTCTTTGAAAATCTTCTTCTCTGCTCCTGGGTATTAAATACAGTAACTAAGTACATAGTTATGATAAGCAAGAGTGCCTCTTTCAAAATTGTGAATTTCATGGCCCCAGGGGCAGGAGTTCTGGTGTAAGGGCGGGGCTCTATTGATTATATAGTGAAAATGCATTACTTCTTTGAAAATCTTCTTCTCTGCTCCTGGGTATTAACTACAGTAACTAAGTACATAGTTATGATAAGCAATAGTGCCTCTTCCAAAATTGTGAATTTCATGGCCCCAGGGTCAGGGGTTCTGGTGTTAGGGAGGGGCTCTATTGATTATATAGTGAAAATGCATTAATTCATTGAAAGTCTTCTTCTCTGCTCCTGGGTATTAAATAAAGTAACTAAGTATATAGTTAGGATGAGCAAGAGTGCCTCTTCCAAAATTGTGAATTTCATGGCCCCAGGGGCAGGGGTTCTGGTGTTAGGGCAGGGCTCTATTGATTATATAGTGAACATTAAGTCTTTGAAAATCTTCTTCTCTGCTCCTGGGTATAAAATAAAGTAACTAAGTACATAGTTAGGATGAGCAAGAGTGCTTCTTCCAAAATTGTGAATTTCATGGCCCCAGGGGCAGGGGTTCTGGTGTTAGGGCGGGGCTCTATTGATTATATAGTGAAAATGCCTTAATTCTTTGAAAATCTACTTCTTTGCTCCTGGGTATTATTGAAACAAATTAAATACATAGTTTTGATAAGCAAGGATGCCTCTTCCAAAATTGTGAAATTCATGGCCCCGGGGACAGGAGTTCTGGTGCTAGGGTGGGGCTATATAGATCCTGTAGTGAAGGTGAATTATTTCTTTGAAAATCTTCTTCTCTGCCCCTGGGTATTGTTTAAACAAACTAAGTACATTGTTATGATAGGCAAGGATGCCTCTTCCAAAATTGTGAATTTTATGACCCCAGATTTAAGGGTTCTGGTGGGGGGGAGGGGGGGCTTCTATTGATTATAAAGTAAAAAAGCAAAATTTATTTGAAAATATTCCTTTCTGCTTCTGGTTAAAAAAGCAATGAAGCTAAGTGTGTAGTTATGATGAGCAAGAGTGCTTCTTCCAGAGTAGTGAATTTCATGACCCCTGGGTCAGATGTGCTGGTGTGAGGGTGGGGCTCTTGATAATATAGTAAAAATGTATTAATTCTATTTAATAATCCTGTTTGCTCCTTGGTGTTAAGCAGATAAACAGTGATTAGTTATGATGAGCAAACTTATGGTCCCAGGGTCAGAAGCTCTGGTGTTGGGGGGGGGGGGGGGCTCTATTGATAATATAGTGAATCTGTAGTAAAAATGCATTATTTCTTTAAAAATCTTCTCCGCACTTGGGCATATCAGAGGCAAAAAGAGTGAAAGTTTTAATAAGGAAGATTATTTTTACCAGATTTTTGAACATCTGGACCATTTGGTCAAGTGTTCTGGTCCTGGCCAGGGCTCTATTATTTTGTATTCTACTGAGAGGAGTTATTCCCCCTTTGCCATTTACTTTTGATAATTTATCACTGTAAATAATGTACTTGAAAGGTAAATAGAATAAGATAATTATGCAAAAACTTTTATTGTATAATACAAAAAGTACTTTCATAGTTTTAATGATCAGAAACACTTGTAAGTAGTAGATAAATAAAAATGAGACAAAAATAACTTGTCTTATTAAATGTTCATCAAGGACCAAGAGAGGCCAATGTAAGAAATTTCAACAAAGGATTAAAATAGTACAGAAGCATTGATAATTTGTTAATATACTGTATGGTGATAGTGATAAATGGGGATTAGATTTATAAACTGTTAATGAATATTAAGACCAATTATTTTGTTGATCATGATCACCCTATTTTTCTTGCTTTTTGGCAACAAAGTTTCACCTTTCAGTTCATTTTATACTCTATGCATCCTTTAAATTGTTGTATCATACTCAGGTGACCGTTAAGGCCCTTGGGCCTCTTGTCTGATATTTTTAGGGGGTCTATAATTCCATAGGATCTCCATAATATATTTTTTGTATATGTGCCACTGCAGGCAAAATAAATTGCTTTTGCATTCAACTTCCTTTCAGTAAGATAGATTTTTATACCCCCTGCAAACGAAGTTTAGGGGGGTATATTGGAATCACCATGTCCGTCTGTCTGTAGATGAGATTTTGTCCAGACCTGTTCTCGGAGACTATTGCATGGATTTGTCTGAAAATTTGTACACTTATTATTCACAATATGAAGGTGTGCACCAGGTATTTTCATCATGACTGGATAATTTTTCTGCATTTTACAGGTGTTTAATTTATTTTAATTACATGATTTTATCTGGACCTGTTCTCAGAGACTATTGTATAGATTCGTCTGAAAATTTCTACACTAATTATTCATCATATGAAGGTGTGCACCTGCTATTTTCATCATTATTGGGTAATTAGGGCCCCGCTCTGCGGGCGCCCTTTAGTGATCAGTCGTCCGTCCGAGATCTCTTGTCCGGAGCATATCTTCTCTCTCCTTGGCCCAATCTGGCTCAAGCTTCACCCACAGAGTGTCTTTGGGTAAAGGGTGTACAGTGACCTTGAACCATTATCCTAGGTCTAAGGTCAAGGTCATAGCAGAATTATATGAAAAATCCTTGTCCGGAGCATATCTTCTCTCCTCTTGGTCCAGTGTGGCTCATACTTCACTCAGAGAGTGCCACTGGTCAGTGGATGTGCAGTGACCTTGAACAAAGTTTCTAGGTCAAGAATCAAGGTCAAAAATAGCCTCTCTGCTTAAATTCTTGTCCAGAGAATATTTTCTCTCTCCTTTGGCCAATCTGGCTCATATTTCACCCACAGATTGTGTTTGGGAAGGGTGTGCACTGACCTTGAACCATGTTTCTAGTTCTAAGGTCAAGGTCATAGCAGAATTATATGAAAAATCCTTTTCTGGAGCATACATTCTTTCCTCTTGGTCCAATGTGGCTCATACTTCACTCACAGAGTGCCACTGGTCAGTGGATGTGCAGTGACCTTGAACAAAGTTTCTAGGTCAACGTCAAAAATAGCCTCTCTGTTTAAATTCTTGTCTGGAGCATATTTTCTCTCTCCTTGGCCCAATCTGGCTCACACTTCACCCACAGAGTGTCTTTGGGTAAAAGGTGTGCAGTGACCTTGAAACATGTTTCTAGGTCTAAGGTTAAGGTCATAGCAGAATTATATGAAAATCCTTGTCTGGAGCGTATCTTCTCTCCCCTTGGTCCAATGTGGCTCATTCTTCTTTCACAGAGTGCCACTGGTCAATGGATGTGCAGTGACCTTGAACGAAGTTTCTTGGTCAAGGATCAAGGTTTAAAATAGCCTCTCTGTTTAAAATCTTTGTTCAGTGCATAATTTCTTTCTCTTAAGTCCAGTCAGCCTCAAACTTTACCAATTGACTTAGGGTAAGGAACATCTGTGATTTTCCTTCCATATTTTGATAAGGGATATGCAATAATTTTCATAAAGGATATGCAACATTCGTGTTTTTTGAGCCGTTTTTTGATAGAGGGTATGGAGCACTTGTGATTTTTGTGCCATATTTTATTATAACAAAGATGACATAGAAGCCCTTTAGACTGAAACAACACATCCCGTAATAGTACACAAATGTCCTCTTCAAAATAAACCCTTTTCAGCTACCTTATATTTTTATGTTCGTTGCTGAAAGCGGGGCCCTTTGAGATGGCCACCATCTCAATGATATCTAGTTTTTTCTGCATTTTACAGGTGTTTTTTTTTTTCATTTTTATTAGCTCACCTCAACGAAGTTGGGGAAGCTTATGTAATACCCTCGGCGTCGGCGTCCCAGGTTAAGGTTTTTTGAGCAGTTTTCTTTTCAAGTACTTCTATGGCCTATATTAGTCAGAGATGCATGGAGGATGCTTCTAGTGTGTTTTATTGTACCAGTCAAGGTTTCAGATGCTGCAATTTCAGCTAAAGAATGACCAGGTTAATGATTTTGGAGCAGGTTAAAGTTTTTGGAGCAGGTTAAAGTTTTTGGAGCAGGTCTCATTTCCAAGTAACTATAAGCCTTATATTGACCAAACTTGCATGGATGATACATCTAAGGATGCACACTACTGGACTTGCTTCGGATGCTGGATCTGACCTATATTTTCCGGATGAGTGACCAGGTTAAGGTTTTTGGAGCAGATCTCATTTCCAAGTAACTATAAGCCCTATATTGACCAAACTTGCATGGA